CCCCAAAACCCCAAAACCCCAAAACCCCAGATACTCATCAAAATATTGAAATTTTTATTTTCACTAGATCGTCAGATAAAGAATCTCTTATGTAATGGCATCAAGGCTATGGTCTTGTATTGGCTGAAATACTGTGGGTTTGATCTCTTACCTTTCCTCTTCACCTCTCAATCATTCTCTAACTGTAGCTATTAGGAGATAGTAGATTCATCAAAACTTATAATAAACCTAATTGGAGAATGTTCTTTCACACTCTAAAGATATAGAATGTTATCAGCCAGTAATGCTTGCCTTTTGAGTTACCCAAAATCTAGGGCTTAGCTTTTTGAAGATAAAGTCCTAAATGCTATTGATTATCTTATAAACTTCTGGATCAGTTATGAACAGCCGTATCTAGTTTTTATACATTAGGTCTACTCATAGATTGGGAAGATTGCGATGCTTTGGTTGAATAAGTCCATAGTCATTTATAATTAATGCCAACAACTCTGTTGTTCTTTCGAATCATTCATGAAGCAACAGTCCATATTCTCTGATCAGTCTTTCTTGTATCCTTTAGGAGTCTCTCTGATCATTGATTCACTTGCATCAAATTCTTTAGATATCTTATTAGTACTGGCTCAGTATAATTCTTTGTCTCTTACTATAACAAACATAAAAGTCAATTTCCAGAACAGTTCAAAGATATCAGCCACCTAATCGTACAAAAATAAGAGGTGTGTTTAAGCTCAATTAACAGATTTTTAGTATTATTATCCAGAATATACCAAGTCAGAACCCCATTCATTGTCAATCATCTTTCTGCTAAAGGTAGATCCAAGACAAAGATCTACAGGATCCTGAGTATCTAAGTAGGCATATACCTTCCACCTCCAAAAGAGTCATACTACATATACTTAAGAGGGATACTGGCAGGCACGATTTCCATGGATCTAACTTCTAATTATCATACTTAGCCCACCAAGAGACACCAAGCAAACAACATGCCAGTCACTCAATTTGATACCTTGACTATTGAAAACATCCCAGAGTTTATCAGAAAGAATTTCAGACGAGATAATTGTTAGCTAACAAGCAAAGCCAAAACTTGGCTCCCAAAATGAGTGTTCATATGTAATCTTAGTCAGTTTCTCTAAAAGATAGCTTAGAGTTATCACTAAAGAGGAAGCAAGGTTTAAAGATGCCAGCAAGCAAGGATTTGAGAAGAGAGAAGTTTGTTTAATATACTTGAGACATCTCATCTTGTAAATAAAGCCCAGAGATAGTAAAATGTTCCAGTAATCTTAGAATGTGGCCTGCAAGTTCGTTCTAGATAAAGGCTGACTTATTTAGATGATACCTATATATCTCGTTTCTGAATAAGAGCAAGAAGAAATAGGCACAAGATGGAAATCAAAGAAAATATAATACAGAAGAAGATTAAGGAGGCCAAGATCACTGTAGGGGACAAAATTCTAGAATGGGGCAAAAGGTTTTGAGAATAGAGAAGCACTATAAAACTTTAGTGAAACATTTGAACCGTCTCCTCAAGTTTTATGAAATCGACTTGACCCATTACGAATGAAATCCTGTCAGTAACTAGTTTTTACTAGTGACATTCCTAACCTCACTCATGCTTTATTGTTGCTCCTTCTTCTTCGATGAAATACCTTGGTGGGTTATCTGAAATCAACTAAAATGTTCAAGCAAACCTGCTTTCAAAGTAGGTAGAAAATACCAGAAGAAGGTACTCTGAGACATTAAAAGCTACGCAGGAGGGTTCCAATAAGAAACATATGGAATGCCTAAACTTAAGTTTGAAAGTTAGTAAAGAATTTCGGACTGAATCAGAGCTTGATTTAAAGATAAATCAATTGGCTTACTTTTAGTAAAGAGTGCTATTAGTTCAGAAGTCAGACAATATGGAACTCAGACAGAAACTGTAATTAAATATGAATGAAAATTGACCATAATAGTAAACAGACATCTTGTTTATTAATTTTTATAATAATTTATTCCTACTTGAATTTAATCATGGGGTTTTGGGGTTTTGGGGTTTTGGGG